GTCAAAATCCCGTCCGGGAAGCAAGTTAATGGAGGAGGGCTTATTGTGGTTTATGGTCAGAGAGGATGCAGTCCAGCAGAATGGGAAGGTGTGGCCACAGGGGCTTGAGTCAGCTGACTGCAGGCATCCACAGTCTGGACACAGAGAGGTGCATGCTGGGGCTCAACTTCATTTCATCTCTTTGACTTTTTTTTTTAATAATTTATTTATTGTGTATCAGTATTCTGTCTGCATGTATGCCTGCAGGCCAGCAGAGGGCATCAGGTCTCATTACAGATGGTTGAGAGCCACCATGTGTTTACTGGGAATTGAACTCAGGATCTCTGGAAGAGCAGCCAGTGCTTTTAACCTCTGAGCCATCTTTCCAGCTCCCTCTTTGTCTTTTTATCCAGTTCTGGACCCCACTTTTAGTCTCATCACTCCGGAGGAAGAGGCAGATAGATCTCTGAGTTTGAGGCCAGCCTGGTCTACAGAGTGAGTTCCAAAAAAGCCAGGGCTATATAGAGATTCTATCTGAAAAAAAAAATAATAATGGGTCTGGAGAGATGGCTCAGAGGTTAAGAGGCTGTTCTTCCAGAGGTCCTGAGTTCAATTCCCAGCAACCACATGGTGGCTCACAACTATCTGTAATGAGATCTAGTGTTCTCTTCTGGCCTGCATGCATACATGCAGGCAGAACACTGTATATATAATGAATAATCTTTTTTTTTTCAAGACAGGGTTTCTCTGTGGCTTTGGAGGCTGTCTTGGAACTCACTCTGTAGACCAGGCTGGCCTGGAACTCACAGAGATCCTCCTGCCTCTGCCTCAGGAGGGATTAAAGGCGTGTGCCACCACCGCCCGGCAATAAACAAAAAATAAAATGAAATAGAAGTCAACTCAATCCAGTAGAGTCACATGTAGCCTCGGTGAACCATATCGAACAACCTCTCATCCGTGTGTGTGTGTGTGTGTGTGTGTGTGTGTGTGTGTGTGTGTGTGTGAACTTGTGCATTCCTGCATGCATGCATAAGTGTGAGAGCATTCCCTGGCTTCTGTGAAGTGGACCTCTTTCTGTATGTTAGGAAATTCCTGAGTCATGGCTCATAGGTTCTTGTTCTCCTCCCAGGCTTGACTGTTCCTCTCCAGTGAATTGGCTTGTAGGGCTCCCTTCAGAGGCCAGGAGGATCTGCTCCTCATTCTCCTGGATCTCTGATCCATGTTCCCAGGAGTAAACCAGAGATACCAGAGATATATATTGAACAGTGACCTTAAATAGGGAAGTGTGGGACCACTTGAACTCCAAGTTGAACTCTTGGCAAAGCCTTGTCAATGTCTGGCAGCTGCCCACATGAATACCTGTACAGGATTCCTCTTGGTATTTTGTCACAGGAGAAAAGTAACTAATCTAGTAATCTGCAGAAAACTATGGGTTTAGGAAGTTGCCCACAATTCACCAAGACAGTTGCTTTGGGGACTCAGGAGGGGTGTCAGCCTGCTCTTTCCATGTGGAGACTGCCCCTGGGGATTGATGAACAGAGGAGCCTGGGGAGCAGCACTGTGCTGCAGACAGGACAGCCCATCCCAGAGGATGAGCAAGTAGGCAGAGGATGCTCCCACTGTGATTATGGAAAGCAAAAACCAGTACCAAAAGACTTAAGTATGGCTGAGAAGCACCTTCACAGACAAGAGCCCTGGATTTCTAGGGTATATGGTTCTAGTCATCACACTGGACCCATGAGTAAGTCTGGCAGGGAGCTCACTCTCTCCTCCCTCCCTCCCTCCCTCCCTCCCTCCCTCCCTCCCTCCCTCCCTCCCTCCCTCCCTCCCTTTCTCTTTCTAAAGACAGGGATCTCTTTGTAGCCCTGGCTATCCTAGAACTCATTCTGTAGACCAGGCTGGCCTCGAACTCACAGAGATCACCTGTCTCTGCCTCCTAGGTGCTGGCTGGCAGGGAGCTCCTTGAAGGACAGAAGAGATATGTGAGACTCACAGGAAATCTCTCAAATATGTGGTGTTGAGTTTCAAATGGTTTTAGTCTTTCAAACACACAAAACAAGAAAATAATACTTCAAGAAAAAGGGCCATATCAGTGCTCATGACTGTGGAATTGCCCCCACCTGTCCCACCAAGGGCCTTCATTTAAGAACAGTGGGATGAGGGTTATGCTGCTGTCCTGCATCATGAGATTTGGTGTGGTCTTGTGAAATGGTTGGAGCCCTGTCCTCACACTGACACGTCCAGGTGTCCATTCCAGAAGGCCAACACTGTAGTGTTTGCATGTGCCCTGTATAGGTTTATGCATTCATTACACATCCTCCTTTTAAAAACTTTTTTTTTTGGAGAAAGTGTCTTGTTATGTAGCCCTCACTATTTAGCCTGGAAGTCACAGACATTCTCTTGCCTCTGCCTTCCAGTGCTGGGTTTAAAAGTATGCACCACCATGCATGCCTCTGGGGCTGGAGTTACAGGAGATTGTGAGTCACCTGATATGGATGCTGGGATTCAAACTCACATCCTATGGAAGTGAAAATAGTGCTTTTTAACCCCTGAGCCATCTCTCCAACCTCCACATCCTCCATCCTTGGTGTTGGAAAATATCTTTCCCAATCCTTCCCCACAAAATGCTTTCAGTCTCATGGCAAGGATTTAGTCAAGAACAGAAACATGATTGAATACCCCATCATAAGTGGGACAGCTATATCGTTTTATGAAGCACCCCATGGCTCAAGGAATATTTTAGAAGAAGACATGGATTTTTGTAGGGTGTCAGGTTCCTGTGGGTCTGTGGACGTCACTCATGGATATTTTAGTTTTTACAGCTGCAGGGGAGTCAACCTGTGGTGAACTAACAGACTCTTACTTTGCAAAGGGATTTTTTTTTTTTTTTTTTGGTTTTTACGAGACAGGGGCAAAGGGATTTTTATTGTTATACAATTCATTCCTTTAGCAAGTCAATCTTATCTAATCTCCCCAAAGAGACGAAAGCCAAAGCAATTCCCATGGTACAGGACATCTCAGTTTTCTGAGTCCTCCCACAACCAAGTTTTGCTTAGGCTTCGAACCTTTAGGGAACTCTCAGATAAGATCTGCATACTTCAAACAGAAGATACAAACATAAGAGGAAGCAATCACAAAAAGCAGATAAAAGCTAGGTGCTAGCACTCAGGAATCAAACCAGCTGCACGTGGGCAGCATGTAAAAACTGTAGGGTGCGTGCGTGCGTGCGTGCGTGCGTGCGTGTGTGTGTGTGTGTGTGTGTGTGTGTGTGTGTGTGTGTGTGGTGTGTAGCCACTGATAAGATGCACATGCTGCTGTGAGCCAATTCTCACACCTGCTTTTGTAAACAATAAATGAAACTCACTGGGCCACAGAAATAAAAACTCACAAAAAACTAAGAACCTACCATGAGCGTAGAAGCGGGCCAGGTTGGGAAGAGGAAAAACATCACTGGAACAAGAGGAGGACTAGAAAGGTTAAAGGGTAGGGGAAAATATAATAAAGGCACGTGATGTTCATGTATACAGATGTCATAATAAAACCCGGTATTATAACATTAATATATATGAAAAATGCTGAGCATGGTGGTGCATGCCTTTAATCCCACGATTAGGGAGGCAGAGGCAGGTGGGTCTCTGAGTGTGAGGTCATCCTGATCTACAGAGCAAGTTTCAGGTCTGCCAGGGCTATAAAGAAATCTTGTATCAAAACAGAAGCAAAAACAAAAAAATACATGTGCTAATAAAAACATTAAAAAAGAAATGTGCAGAGAGGAATTTCAGTGTCTGTGTTAATAAGAATAGCAGCAGTGGTAACAGACAACCCACACACGGACTTATAATTGGTGGAATTATTATTATTTTTAATTTTATGTGTATGTGTGCCCAAGTTTCTGTATGTGCATATGTGCATATGGGTACTCTTGGAGTCCATTAAAGGGCTTTGCAGTTCCTGGAGCTGGAGTTACAGGTGGGTGCAGGAACCAAGCGCAGGTTCTCTGCAAGAACAGCCAGTGTGCTGGGTGGTGGTGGCACGCATGGGAAGCAGAGGCAGGCCGATCTCTGTGAGTCTGAAGCCAGCCTGGTCTACAGAGCTACTTCCAGGACAGCCAGGGCTACACAGAGAAACCCTGTCTAGAAAAACCAAAAACAACCAATCAAAAAACCAACAGTACTCTTAACCGCTGAGCCATCTGTCTAGCCACAGATGAGATTATTTGGAAAACATGAGGCTTCGCTGTTGAACCTGATGTGTAGCAGTGTATTAGTTATGCCTCTACTACTGAACACCACTGGGGAGAGTAAAAACACTTTTCAGAGTGCCACAGGAATAAACAGCCACTGATGTAGAAGGATGAGTGAAAGGAAGACCTGTGGGTCCTCCAGACAGGGAGCTGGCATGGGCTCTTCCCAGCTCTGAGTGCACTTCCTTGGTAGTCCTGACAACCAGGAAGGGGTGAGTAAGAGAACTGCCTGACATCCCAGTGCTTAGCTTTGGGGTTTAGTGTTGCAGTAACAGCTAGAGAGCTATCCTTACCCTCCAAGAATGTGCTCATGCACAGGAGGGCTCAGCTAGCTCTGTCTGTAATCAGCAGGCCTTGATGTAGGATTGGCTGTGGATCTGAAAGCCTGGACAAAGAACTGGGTTCCCTGTGGGTATCTGTATTTACAGCCATCCTAACTCCCTTCCTAATGTGTCTGCAGGTTACTCCATTGCTCACCAACATGGAAGAGGAAGTTGGGTCCCCCAAGGATAATCAGCAACTTACATACTTCTCTGCTCCTGCAGTCATTGACAAAGACAGCATTGTTTTATCTGTAGAAGTTATCAACAAGGTTCAGATGGTTGTGAAAGAAAATGATTGGATAGAACTGGTCTCTGAAGTCAAGGATATCAGAAAGAAAATATCAATAACCACAGTGAAAATTGCTGTGACTGGAGACTCCGGCAACGGCATGTCATCCTTCATCAATGCCCTTAGGCTCATTGGACATGAGGAGGAGGATTCAGCTCCCACTGGGGTTGTGAGGACCACCCAGAAACCAGCCCTTTACTTCTCTTCTGAGTTTCCCAATGTGGAGTTGTGGGACCTGCCTGGCACAGGGGTCACATCCCAGAGCATGGAGAACTACCTGGAGGAGATGGGGTTTGACAAATATGACCTTATCATAATCATTGCTTCTGAGCAGTTCAGCTCGAATCATGTGAACCTGGCCAAAGCCATGCAGAGGATGAAAAAGAGGTTCTATGTCGTCTGGACAAAGCTGGACAGGGACCTCAGCTCAAGTCCCCTCTCAGAACCCCAGCTACTGCAGAATATCCAAAAGAATATCTTGGAGAACCTCCAGAAGGAGGAGGTGAAGGAGCCCCCCATATTCCTGGTATCCAGCATTAAGACTTTAGCACATGACTTCCCAAAGCTTAGAGACACCCTGAAAGAAGACATCTTCGGTATCAGTAATGATGACTTCTTAGGAACCCTTTTCTCTATTTGTGATGAGACTATTAATGAGAAAGTAGAAGGCATTAAAGGGTACATAGATGCAGATACTCTATGCAGTCGTTATGAAATCTTGGATCCAGATAATCTGGAAGAGTGTGAGAAAGTCTTCCAAAAAATCTTTGGTGTGGATGACAAATCCCTCCACCAGGTGGCTCAGACTATGGGACAGCCAGATGCTTTTTACATGGATGCCAAGCAGTCCCAGGTTATACAGATGTATCCACAAGATGGCTCGACACTGTCTTGGCTGTATCATTCTGGATCCCAATTTCTCTTTATAAGACTTGACTCTGTCTACTGCTGTTTTAACTCTAATTATTATAGACACAAGCAACAGAAATGTGTACTTGGTAAAGTTGCTGAGGAAACCAAGAAAATTCTGAGGAAAATCCTGAAAGATTCCATTTTCCTTCCTGAGGTCCTCTCCCCAGCTCTCTACCCTACATCTACCCCCAGTTGAGCTTACCTGCCCTATGGGTTCCAAGTTCCGTGAGGTCAATAGGTCTTCTTTCTTGATGGGTGTTCCCCTCAGGAAACACCATAATGGATTTTGCTTTGTACCATTTGTTTAACTTTATTAATTGAACTATCTGTGTTTCCAATACAAGAGACATTTCCTTTTTCTTTTCTTTTTTGAGACAGGTTTTCTCTGTATTGTTTTTTGGAGGCTGTCCTAGAACTCACTCTGTAGATCAGGCTGATCTTGAACTCACAGAGATCAGATTGCCTCTGCCTCCTGAGTGCTGGGATTAAAGGCTTGCACCACCAATGCCCGGTGACATTTCCTTTTTCTAATTACACAGAATTTCACGTTTGCTACATAGTCACCTTAGCACCTATGATTCATATTGTTTCTCTTAGAGGCCTCTTGGTTTTCCCTAATCTCTTTCCCCTCTCTTCTTCCCTTTCTTGGGAAGTGGAGCATCCCTTCTGGAATGAGGAAGAGCTTGTTTTGCCCATTGTCTGGAAGCATGGCTAGTAGAGAGGCCTGTTCTCTGACCTCTTCTCCATGTGTAAGGAGAGGGGAATTAGTCTCATTGGTAATAGGATTCACAAAGTGCTGCATAAAAGAATTCCAAGTCCCTGGCACTACCCCTAATGGTGTCATGTCTAGTCATGGCCCTGCACACTCTGTGCGCCCACAGTCTCCTATTGGGTTTGAACTTCTTCAGCCACCCCTGACTCCACAGGTCAAACCCCTGTCTAGATACACAGGCTCTTCTCCCTCCCACAGGGAGTTTTCCATTTCGCTCAGTTTGTGTGTTTTTGTGTTTACCTAGGACAGACGCTACTCCATGTTCTGCCACATCCTTCTCTCAGTCCCACTCTCAACAGATGTCAGAGTGTTGTCGGCCCAGTCTTGTAACGTCTCACCCCTGTGCCCTCCATTCTTTCTTTTCAGAACACTAAATACCTTCCCACCTCCAACCATTGCCACTGCCACATCCCAGCATGCGCACCTTCATGCCACTTGTTCCAGAAAGGGCTTATTTTTGCCTCATAGTTTGACAGTGCAACCCATCATAGCCGAAAGTCATCACAATAGGAACGCAGGGCAGCTGGTCACATTGTGTCCACAGTCAGGAAGCAGAGAGGGAGAAATGAATATCGTTCCTCCTTTTCATTCAGCCCAAGATCCCAGCCCATAGAATGACACCATCCACATTCAGAGTGGGCCTTCCAGCCACAAGGAACCATGTCTAGAATCTCCATCATTAATGTGCCCAGAGGTCTGTTTCCATTGTGATTCTAGATCCCGCAAAATTGACATTCAATATTAACCACACAGGTACTGTGATAGCAGAGGGGTATATTTGAGTTTTATTGACTTATAGTGGGAAGAAGGTTGGGTGTGGCTCAGTAGTACAGTGCTTGCCTAGCACATGGGAGGCTATGGTTTTAATACCCAGAAAGAAATAAACAAATCAGTTTAAGACGGAAAGAAAATGTAACTGTATTTGTTGAGAAAAAAGCATCAACTGTATCATCTTGAAGGCACAAGTACTTTGCAAAAAAACATCACTTAAATGTAAAGGGGAGGTCTCCTTTATATGCTGGGGGTAAAGATGGGGTGAACTAAGAAGTCTCGGTGGTGGTGGGATTGGCACTGAGGGTGAACAAAGCTCTCCCCTGCCTCACTTCCTCCTGCTCATTCTCTTGTTAACATAATTGGATAGACTCACAGGAAAAGTCTGCAAATGTTGGGCCACAGCCCCACGGGGTCTCTGTGAGTTGCTGGTCAGCCTACAAGTGCAACCTGTTTTCCAGTCCAAGTGCTTCCTGTTTTCTAGTCCTGGCTTACTGCCCCGCCTTGACCCCCTGACATCAACATCTAGCAGGAGGAAAACATGTTGTCTTCCACCTGGGGTTTTTCCACTGTGCTGTAAGCCTGTATATAAGACTGCTCCCTCCTACAAGAGAGAGACCTCTCAGCACTTGCAATAAAGACATTCTCTCTCTCTCTCTCTCTCTCTCTCTCTCTCTCTCTCTCTCTCTCCCTCTCTCCTGGCAATAAAGGCAACACATGCATTCTCTTAGTACAAACTAGTACAAACAGCTGGACGTCTTGTCTTTCTTTTCTTGATACTTTGGACTTGCTTGTGGTGCAGTGGCTTATGCAAAGAAGTCGCAGTTTTGTTTGTCATCCTGATGATGCTCAGAGGTCACTTTTGAGGTCAAGTTTATATTATAGATTATGCTACAGTGTGTTCACTGTGAGAAAGCAAGCTTGCACTTTAAAGTAATATGACTGTTACTGCTATGTGTTTGTCACAGGGACTCTAACTCAGCTCCAGCACTGAGGAAACTGATGTGCAGACTCTGATTCACTGTGAGCCTGCTGGAAAAGCAGGGTGTAAATTCTATGTCTTAGAACATAGATGTAGTTTTCTCTTTGCTAGGTGTATATACATACCTATCTATATCCAGATACAGAGATATATGTACATGTTACATATTCATCATATACATATATTATGTATTGCATGTAACATGCATTAGTGTTTATCATAAATTAGTAAGAGTATATTACATAAACATATGTATTTTTTATAACTTTGTACATGAGTACTATATTTATATCATTCCCACCCTTCCTTCCCCCACATACTCCTCAGGTATTCCCCCAAATGTTTTTAATAAACGATTTTTTTGGAGACAGGGTTTCTCTGTAGCCCTGGCTTTCCTGGAACTCACTCTGTAGACTAGGCTGACCTTGAACTCCACCTGCCTCTGCCTCCAGAGTGCTGGTATTAAAGGTGTGCGTGTTGTTAAAACATTTAGGTTTATCCAGTAAGGAGACACAGACCACGACTCAACGATCCCACGTGGAGTTTATTGGTGGACGGGGAGGGAAAAGGGGAGCAGAGAGAGAGAGAGAGAGAGAGAGAGAGAGAGTAAGAGCAAGAGCAAAAGAGTAAGAGAGAGTAAGAGAGGAAGAGGAGTAAGAGAGAGTAAACGGGCAGGGGTCAGCCCCTTAAAGGGGTCCTTTGCACCTGCCTCGTTCTCACGGAACTCTGGGCTGGCCAGAGTGTTGCCTGAGCGCATCCTGCCAGGTAACAGGGCAGGCCAGAGTAATGCCTGAACCTTTCAGTGCGCCACTACCACTCAGCAATAATGGATTTTTTAAAGATATATTTTATTTGTGTGTGTGGGGGGGGGTCATATAAGTAGGGATGCCCAGGGAGGCCAAAGGCATTGAATTCCCTTCAGCTGGAGTTGAGAGGCAGTTGTGATCCTGAGGTAGGTGCTGGGAACAGAACTTGTGTCCTCTGCAAGAGCAGTATACACTCTCAACCTCAGAGATCCCTCTCCAATCCCTAATCGTGGCTTTTTAAGGATACAGTTTCAGGGCCTGGGGAGATGCCTCAAAGGCCATGCCACTGTATAAGCACGAGAACCTGAGTCCGATTATCTAACACCTATGTAGAAGGCCAGGTGTGGCAATACATGCCTATAAGGAGGTGGGTGGAGATAGACTGATCCCAAGTTCTGTGAGAGACCTTGACTCTGAAAATAAGGCAGAGAGGAAGAGAGGAAGAACACACACACACACACACACACACACACACACACACACACACGCATACACAAACAGAGGCACACACACACAGAGGCACACACACTTTTTTTTCCTCCAAATTTCACTTGTTACATCAGAAGTGTCAAAATCTGTTTCCACAACCACCGAGGCTCCCCACACAGCAGACTTCTCTCCCCTAACCAAATCCCAGGGTCTCTTCCATCTTTATTTACCAGTGAGGAACTGACACAAATAAATAAACTGGGTGCAGGAGGCTCAGCTAGTCCAATTGTAAGTATTTGCGTTTACTCTTAGGCATTACCTCCCTGGAAAAGACTGTTAGGCTTTAGCACGAACACACAGCTACTTTCAGTTACAGCTCCAAACAAACCAGAACGAGCTACAGAGTCAGTATGAAAGAGCTCTGATTGCCCAGGAGCCGGAAAGCTGCTGAGTGTCAGATTTACAGAGCTTGGGAGTGCGGTTCTGCTAGAGGGACAGTTACTTCCGCAGAATTGACATGTCCCCTCCTGGGATGCTCACAGGCTCCAGAAGTAATCAACATCCACAAGGCCCCTCTCCACAAAGTTATACAAGTAGTAACAATTTTGGAGCTGCCTGTCAACTCTGGGGATACAGCTTTCATGACCCGCTGACCCATGCTGGGTTTGGTTTTTCAGTGATGTAGCCTGCCTGAAACACTGGTTTTTGGCTTCTGTAACTTGCTTATTCAGACACTCAAGGACTACCTACCTAGTCTTGGCAGAGAAGAATAGCCTTGGCTTGCTTGTGCAGATGGTCCAGCCCTTCTTGGGGTTTTCCCCTTTCAAATTCCTTCTCTGACTGTTTCACATGGCAATCTCAAGTTTGCCTCAGAGACAGCTAGCAGTAATCAATAAATCTTTTAATTATAATTGAATTGATCCTATAGTCTTTTCTCAGGCGTCACAAACTCCACAACATTTGGAAATCACAGAGTGACCCCAGACTCAGGGCCAGGGGTCCTGGGGAGTCCGAGACCTCTGTCTAAGATCTCCCCCAAAATAACTCCAGATATGCCTGCTTAAAGAATCAGAACTGAACTTGTTAAAATTTGTTAATATTCCTGATCTGGCCCCGCCCACCCGGCGTCTCTGCACCTGTCAGAGCCGGCTCCAGCCATGGTGCTGCCCAGAGTTTTGTAAGTTGGCAGCAGAGGCTCAGGACTTGGCGCAGGTCCCGATGGCGGCGGCGGTCCTGGTGGCGGCTGACCCTGCACCCGCGGTGCCACAGGCAGCGGGGAGCGGAGGTCCGACCTCGCTCCGAGACTTCTACTGGCTGCATTCCTTCCTGGCCGGAGGTATTGCTGGGTACTGTGCCAAAAACCACAGTTGCTCCTTTGGATCTAGTAAAGGTCTTATTACAAGCTCACAACCACCATTACAAACATTTACGGGTACTTTCTGCACTGCGTGCTGTTCCCCCAAAAGAAGGATACCTTGGACTGTATAAAGGAAAGGGTGCAATGATGATTCGAATCTTTCCCTATTGTGCAATTCAGTCCATGGAAGTTGAGCATTACAAAACGTTCATTACCACAAAGCTGGGAGTTTCTGGTCACGTGCACAGATTGATGGCTGGATCCATGGCAGGCACGACAGCAGTTATTTGACTAACCCTCTTGATGTGGTTAGGATGCGTCTAGCCTTCCAGGTGAAAGGAGAGCACACCTACTCAGGGATCATTCATGCGTTCAAGACAGTTTATGCTAAGGAAGGGTTTCCTTGCATTCTACAGAGGTCTGATGCCTACTATATTAGGAATGGCTCCATATGCGGGAGTGTCCTTTTTTACCTTTGGTACCTTGAAGAGCGTTGGGCTTTCCTATGCTCCCGCCCTGCTTGGCTGACCTTCATCTGACAACCCCAACGTCTTAGTTTTGAAAACTCAAATAAACTGACTTTGTGGTGGTGTTGCTGGAGCAATAGGACAGACTATATCCTACCTATTTGATGTGACCTGTTGGAGAATGCAGTTAGGAACAATTTGAAAAGTGCCTTACGATGCGGGAGACCATGAAGTATGTCTATGGACACTATGGGATTCAGAAAGGGTTGGCTTATCTCTGAACTACATCCTCTGTATTCCCTCCCAAACTGTGGCTTTCACAACCTATGAACTTAGGAAGCAATTTTTCCACCTTAACTAAAAGAAAAAGATATGATGAATATTACCTTAATTGTGAGGGAAACATTACTTGAAGGGGACGCTGACCCTGTCACAGGAACCACTGGGGTTTTGATATTTGATTTCTGTTGGTTTTTAAATCATAGATCGAAAGTGCTGAGCATAATTTTGTTTTTGTTTTCTTTTTGGTGGGATCTAGAACTTACTGTGGAGACCTGGCTGGCCTCAGACTTGTGGCTATTCTCCTGCCTCTGCCTCCCAAGTACTGAGATGCTAGGCATGGGCCACCATGCCTGCTCTAACATACTTTTTAATGCCAAACACTATACCTTAGAACACTGACAAATCATCTTACACTGGTGGTGGTAACCTGTTGATTATTTGAAAGTACTATTTGGAAGGAGAGGTAGGTTGGAGTTCAAGAGATTGTCATTAGTTTTATCACACTTAACTGTTATTGTGGTTATTGTGGTGGGGAGGGACTAGAACCAAATCTAGGGCCTTTTGCATGCCAGGTACTTGTTGTGTCCACTAAGCCACATCCCCAGCCTGTAATTATGATAGTCTTTTTTTCAGTGCTGGGGGAATTGAGGCCATGGCCTTGCACATTCGCAGCAAGTGCCATATCCCCCCTTTTTTTAGTGAGGTGCTAGGGACCAAACTCATGCATGCTGGTTGCACACTACCGATGGCCTACACCCCAGCCCCCTAACACTGCTGGTTATTTACCCCACCCCTCCAGCCTTCTGTTCCTT